GTTTCATGTTGCTGCTGATCAGTTTCATGTTGCTGCTGATCAGTTTCTTGTTGATGTGTTCATGGTGCTCATCTGCTCACACAGACTCATGTTGGTGCTGCTGTTCGGTGTAATGTTTTTTTGCTGTTAGTGTTTAGTGTATATTTAGTTGATGTTTTTCTTAGTTCATATCTTAGATGTTATTACTGTTTTTATTTTACATTTTATTGTTGGGTGTAACTGGGACCTTGAGCACACATTTTTGTTCCACCTCATGTACCACATGTGATGTGAATAAAAAAACTTGAACCTTGAAAATATTTGAGACTGGAGCCGAGGTTCACCTTCCAGAAGAACCGTGACCTGAAACATCCAGTCAGAGCTACAGTGCAACAGGTCTTTGTGTCGGACCGGCTGAAGGACTTGTTCAAGTGTCTGCTCCTCGATTCTATAACGACTCAAGAGCAGACCAACAAGAAACGACGTGAAAAAATTAACCAGACGACTTCGTTAGAACGAGGATGAGTTGAAAAACTGTTCCTGAGACAACTCCACTGTTTGAAACAGACCTCGAATACAAAAGAAAACTGTGACGTCTAGGTTAGTGTGTGTGTGTGTGTGTGTGTGAGTGTGTGTGAGTGTGTGTGAGTCTCTGTGTGTGTGTGTGTGTGTGTGTGTGTGTGTGTGTGTGTGTGTGTGTGGGTGAGTGTGTGTGTGTGTGTGTGTGTGTGTGTGTGTGAGGTGATTTATATCTGTGTGTGGTATTCTAAGGTTTCAGTCCACAGAAGTGTGTAATGGGTCTTAAATGGTCGACACCTGATCACCACAGATCATCTGCTGCCTGACAGGCGTCCACGTCCTCCAAAGACACACACTCATGTCCCTGTCTTTGTCTTCTGGCTCTCACACACATGTTGTCTTTCTCACATCACTGTGACTTCTTATCTGATCCTAAGCACCTGTTGTTCTGCAGAAACAACCAGTAAGATAAAACAACCAGTAAGATAAAACAAAACAGATTATGGGAACAAAAACCTGTAAAATGGTTAAAAGATCTACGTGAGAAGGAACCATTGTTGTCCATAACTGGAACCTGCTTCAAGCGTCTGAATGAAAGGTCAAGGTAAAAGACAGAAGCACCCCTCCATGAGTACGATGAGGTTTGTCACGTGTGTTTTATAGATTAATGAGGCTAAAGATCGACTGAAAACTGAAAACATCAAGATTTGTTTTGCAGGATGAAGTCACGTCATGTCACATGCATGAAGGTACTCCTCGACGGTAACCGAGGATCAAGACACGAAATGAGATGGATTTCGATCGTGGACGGCACGGTGGCACAGTTGGTAGAGCTACCGCCTCTCAGCAAGGTCTCTGGATAAAATCCCGGTCTGGGGTCTTTGTGGGTGGAGTTTACATGTTCTCTCCGTGCTGCGTGGGTTTTCTCCAGGTACTCCAGTTTCCTCCCACAGACCAAAAACATGTTGGACTGATTGTAACTCTAAATTGTCCCTAGGTGAGAGAGTGAATGGTTGTCTCGCTTGTCTCTATGTGTCCCGTGATGGACTGGAGACCTGTCCAGGGTGTCCCTATGAGTGGTGAAGGCTGCACAGAAGATGTTGGAGTCAGACTCCCCACCATCACAGACATCTACACCTCCAGATGCAGGAGGAGTCAGTCCCAGCAGTTCTTCCTCTGATTTTATCCTCAAATGGTGTCCCCATTGAGTTTGTTGATTCCTATAAATATCTGGGTATCTTGGTCGACTCACATCTCTCTTTTAAGCTCCATGTGGAAAACTTGATAAAGAAACTGGAAGTTAAACTGGGTTTGTTTTCCAGGAACAGATCCGGTCTAACTCTGAACCCTGAGGAACACCTTGTATCTGTGACTTTCCTTCCCTCCACTGATTACAGTGACATTATTTACATGAACGCTCCTACAAGAACTCTGCAGATGTTGGATGCTGCACATGTTGGATGCTGCAGATGTTGGATGCTGAGCAGGACTCATCAAGAGTTACCAGAAATGTTTGAAGTTATGGGGGGGGGGGGGGGGGTCACACCAGGTACTGAAGCAAAGGTTCACATACTTTTACCACTGATGGATGATACTGGATCATTGTCCTCAATAAAAATAAATGACCAAGTTTAATATTTTAGTCTCATTTGTTGAACTGGTTCTTTTGATCTACTTTGATGTTTTAGGTCATACTGATGCAGAAATATAGAAAATTATAAAGAGTTCACAAACATCCAAGCACCACTGCTGCTACTTACACCATTAATTAATTTATTAAGCAGGAAAAGTGTGTTTTTATTCACCGATTTTGTATTTTGGTTCAGTTTATGTAAAATAAGTGCTGACAAATTTTCCATTCAACCTTTATTTATACAGGCTAGTCTCATTGAGCCTCGGACTCGTTTACAATAATGTTTGTGTGTCACCATCGTATGTTCCCATAGGTGGAGCAGTGGGCAGCTGTGGAAACTGCTCAGGGAACCATTGGAGATAAGGTGTCCTGCTCAGAGACACCAGGACATGTGCAATGACCGGGGATCGAACCCGGGACCTTGGGGTCTTGAGTCGGCTGCCCCGCCCCTACACTATCTCGGCCCAACACTGCACGTAACGCAGTCTTCAGTGTTTATTTTAGGCTGTGTGAGCAAGTTGTGTAAAATCGTCGTATTGTGGAGTGTACTTGCTTCTTATTAAGATTTTTTTTATGAATTAATAAATTTAAAACAACTGCACAGAATAAAAACTTTTATACATCTATGTTTTAGAAGAAATGTAGAATGTGCTCGAAATTATTTTTTATCCACATGAGATTTTTTGTGTCAAAAACAAAAGCTACATCCATTGAAAAGTGATGGGCAGATCCAGAGTTTACCTGAGTCCTGGTCCTGTACGCAGTAGTCTGGCGAGGCCTCCAGGTAGACCAGGTCGTTTTTGCTGGGTCGTTTGACATGTCTGTGTGCGGCGGTGAACCCTGTGCCGTACTGGTTTACTGCAACCTGCACAGCGCCGTTGTACTTCCTCCTCAAGTGGTCACCTGTGTGTCGGAAATCAGCCATGGCTTGCCAGCAGGTCCGAACGCTGCACGAGCCGCTGACACCGTGACATTTACACTCCAGAGTCATAAAGCGCCTCACCGCCTGCAGGAGAACAGAGCATCAGTTCAGGAGCAACATCAGCAGAAGGTTGAGCTCAGGACAGACACAACAAGTCTAATTTATTTATAGAGCACATTTAAAACAGGAACTGTTACCAACGCCCTCAACAAAAACATCAAAGCATCAAATATAATGTAACAAGATACAATTACAGCACATGGAATAAGAACAAATAACAAAACCTCATCAGAAACAAAGAAATATGAAATCGTATGTCACGGAGTACAGATGTGTTTTCACAAGAGATTTAAAGGCAGAAACGGAAAAGGCCCGATCTCCTCTGATCTTCAACCAGCTGTTTTTGGTACCACCCAAACAGCTGCTCTGAAGATCTCAAAGCCCAAGAAGGAGCAAAAAGATGAAGGAAGAATTAAAAAGAATACAGATTATTAAAATGATCAAAATAAACATACATATACATATACATACATATACATATACATATACATACATATACATATACATATACATACATATACATATATATATATA